GGGGCTGGAGCCGACACTGGAGCGAGCTCTGGGCTTGCCCCATTATCGTCCTTTGGGCTTGCTACATTAACGCCCTTTCGGCTTGCCACATTAATGTCTTTTCGGCTTGCCACATTACCTGCCGGCTGACTTGGGGAAGCCGCGGACGGCGGCGGACTGGTTCTGGCTCGGGACCGTGTCTTGAAATTCATGTCTTGAATTTGTAAATGTATTTTAATAGACTGAATCATGCAGTGAAAGAATGCACTCTAAATGCTCACTTCACGTAATGCATGCGTGCACTCTGTTGCTGTTTTGAATGCTTTTTGCGTCGTGAGAATATTCAGCAAAATAACTCACTTGTCATGGTATGTTACTTAACTATATCATGTTATGAATAAACTAAACATTTTGAATTTTTACCTCAGTGTGTTTCTTCTGAGTTTCTTTATGTGTGCTGTTACGCTCATTTGTTCTGAAGTCTCTCACAAAGAGACAAACAGAGCGAGCCTCAACAGTACGACCTTGATAGCAGAAATACACTATCCATTATCAATCGCAGTTTACATTGAATGTTGGCTAATAAAATTAGAAGAAGAATTCTCTCATTCCGATGCTTCGCTGGTTATTTTTTTGTCACTTATGTTTTAATCAGGCTATTTGTCCGGTCGGGCAAGTAAAAAAAAAAAACATTTTAAACTAGCTAGAAGGCTGATCAGCTGTAGCTCGACCTATATTTATTATTATTATTATTATTATTATTATTGAGAACATTAAGAAGGTAGTTTGACCTGTATTGTGCTACTGCGATTCTCTCTGATGATGCAGTAACTACCGCGGGGGAGAAAAAAAAAATCTTCGGTCTGTCCAATGATTGTGAACAGTCCGTGAGACTGAAGATATTTTAGCGGTATTGTGACCAAAAATATTTAAGACCCATTGAATCTGAATTTAAGACATTTTAAGGCCTTTTATTAGGAAAACGTTATTTAAGACATTTTAAGACTTTTTAAGACCTTTTATTAGGAAAACGTTATTTAAGACATTTTAAGACTTTTTAAGGCCTTTTATTAGGAAAACGTTAATTAAGACATTTTAAGACTTGTTAAGGCCTTTTATTAGGAAAACGTTATGTAAGACATTAAAGGGGTCATATGATGCTTTTTTAAAGATCATTATTTTGTGTATTTGGTGTAACAGAATATGTTGACATGCTTTAATGTTCAAAAAACACATTATTTTTCAATAACTTTGATAAAGAATATCTCTTTGGTTTTGAGACTTTAGTCTTTGCAACTTCAGGGATCTTATCTATTCACGAACAGCTTGTAACACTCCAAAGAGAAAGGAAAACTTGAAATCTCATCATATGACCCCTTTAAGACTTTTTAAGGACCCGCAGACACCTGTTGTATAAATGAGAATACTATGGGGCCAAACACAGAACCCTGAGGCTCCCCCAGTGTATTTAATTGAGCAAGGGCATTTTTTGTCAAGATAAGTCCCTGTTAATTTTATGACCCTGTATATAGCATATTTACCTTTAGCAGAAAAAGTAAGTTTAAGCTGTTTTCCACAATAAAAACGGAATCTAATGGTAATTTGTTTTAAACTGACAGATATAGTTATGCTCATCTTTAGCAGTGTTAATGTCACTCACGGGTACAGCAGTTTGGGTTTGGTGTCTATGCTTCTACAGATGTCGTATTCCACTGTGAATGAGAACACCCTGCTGCCACAGGCAGCCCACAGCTCTTTGCACTCCTGAGTATGACTGAATGGACCAAGACACATCAGAGGAGTGTTCACATCACCAACCTGCAATGTTTTCACTGGACCACCATTCTTCACCTATAGTCATAAAACATCAAATATGTCAGGCATCTGAGATAATACAGTGCTGTTTTATACAAACTTGAGAGCATTTGGGGATTTTGGGAAAAAAATTTGGGGATTTTTTTTTAATATTTATGAAGGAAGTCTTATTCTCACCTAGGCTGCATTTATTTGATCAAAAATTCAGTTACTATTAAGAAATATTACAATTAAAATATTAAGTTAAAAAATGAAGTTAATCTCTCTCATCTCAAAAATTAGAATATTTTGCATCTCAAAAAATTAGAATATTATGAAAAAGTTAATTTTTCTTTTGTAACTTATTTCAAAAAGTGAAACTTTCATATATTCTAGATTCATTACATGTAAAGTAGGGGTGGGCGATATGGCAAAAATATCATATCACGGTTTTTTTAAAGAAATATCACGATTCACGATTCTTTGTCATGTTGGTTTTTACTATTTTGCAAGTTGTCTGAGCTTTACAGCTAATTTCCATATCATAAAGACAAAGCCTTTCAAGGTAACAAAATATAAAAAAGAATGGCAGATATTTAGGCCAAAGTGGGCAAAGATAAAAATCTTTGTCATTATTTTATCTTTGTTATTAAAAAATAAGAACAAATATACACATTATAAATACACATATTATACAAATAAAACAACAGTGCTTTATTTTAAGGTACAATAGATGTACTTATCAGGAGCATTCAAGAAATTGAATGAACAAATATAAAAATAAAACACTATAGATTGATACCTATCAAAGCAACTGTATTAAAGTTTTTTCAGTTAAGAGTAGTGAGTGATTTTTCTCTGTGTTTTGTTGTTTTATTAATATAATATAATAAAGAAATTAATATAATGTTAATTTATTTGAAATAGCAAAAATAAAACAGAAATAGAAATCTTTATAAATTTACTTTATCTTTATAAATGTACTTTTTCAGTTTAATGCATCCTTTCTAAGTAAAAAGTATTAATTTCTTTCCAAAAAAATCTTACTGATCCCAAATCTTTGAATGTCAGTGTATGCAATAAATTAAAGTGCTAAACAATTATAGTTCTTAATTCAGTCAATTGAAGAAAAAAAAAAAAACATTCTCAGATGATTCTCCAGTAAACCTTGGTCTATTTCAAAGTAAAACTGTATTTACTGCACATATTGAAATAATTATTAAAATGATAAATAATGATTAAAAAAGCTATAAGCTATACCTTCAAGACTGAATCTTCATATATGACTAGTGATCCATCTGCTGTCCCGACCAAAAGGTAATTCTTAAAGTGTCTGAAAAATTGAAACATTATTCTCTCATCTAAACATAGATCATCCAAGAAGCCATTCCACATTTAGCTCAGAAACGTACATGTAATCACCTGTGAATGTGAAAGTATAGCGATGTCACAGAATCCTTCACACTCTTCAGACAGTGCAGAACCTCTGCGTTTACAGTATCCATGATGAAGAGTGAACCTGACTGTGTACCAGCAACTAACCAGTCACTGCATGACCCTGGAGCTCTGATGATCACCATGCAGAGGATAGGACTGCTGTCAATCTCCTAAAAGAGGGCGGGAACACTGTTAACTGGATCGTTAAATAAACAGCAGTCAATGAGTTAATTCCTCAAGGATTGTGGGTGAACTGTTTGGGAAGTAACTGAAAACTATTATATGCAGAACACTGAAATGAGGATGATATAATCATACTTGTTTAGATGAAATAGCATTTAAAGGTGACATATCATGAAAATCGGACTTTTCCAGGTTTTAAGTGCTATAATCAGGTCCCCGGTGCATCTACCAACCAAGGAAACATGAAAAAGATTAACCCAGTAACTTTGTTTTGGTAAGCCTTTTTCTGCAAGCGTCTGAGAAAACGAGCGCGTCTGATTTGGCTCCCTTGGTGACGTGGCAAAGGGATCTCATTATAATATTACCGCCCCTTAATCTGTAAATTTACACCCACGGCGCCATCATTTTGATTTCACAAGCGACAACGGTGTACCAGCTCTAATGCCATGGCGAAAGTTTGAGCAAAACATGCTAAGTATTCTGTCTTTGTCTGGACTGATGAGCACAGAACACTGTTTAGAGTCCCCGCGTCAGAGGAGACAAGACAGCAGTGGATGTATTGATTTATTTACTGTATATTGCTGCTGCCACACGGATCTAAAATAAACATGCGATTTATTTCCCAGCTGTTTACCTTCACAGTGAAACTTTCATATATTCTAGATTCATTACATGTAAAGTAGGGGTGGGCGATATGGCAAAAATATCATATCACGGTTTTTTTAAAGAAATATCACGATTCACGATTCTTTGTCATGTTGGTTTTTACTATTTTGCAAGTTGTCTGAGCTTTACAGCTAATTTCCATATCATAAAGACAAAGCCTTTCAAGGTAACAAAATATAAAAAAGAATGGCAGATATTTAGGCCAAAGTGGGCAAAAAGCCTTTCAAGGTAACAAAATATAAAAAAGAATGGCGGATATTTAGGCCAAAGTGGGCAAAGATAAAAATCTTTGTCATTATTTTATCTTTGTTATTAAAAAATAAGAACAAATATACACATTATAAATACACATATTATACAAATAAAACAACAGTGCTTTATTTTAAGGTACAATAGATGTACTTATCAGGAGCATTCAAGAAATTGAATGAACAAATATAAAAATAAAACACTATAGATTGATACCTATCAAAGCAACTGTATTAAAGTTTTTTCAGTTAAGAGTAGTGAGTGATTTTTCTCTGTGTTTTGTTGTTTTATTAATATAATATAATAAAGAAATTAATATAATGTTAATTTATTTGAAATAGCAAAAATAAAACAGAAATAGAAATCTTTATAAATTTACTTTATCTTTATAAATGTACTTTTTCAGTTTAATGCATCCTTTCTAAGTAAAAAGTATTAATTTCTTTCCAAAAAAATCTTACTGATCCCAAATCTTTGAATGTCAGTGTATGCAATAAATTAAAGTGCTAAACAATTATAGTTCTTAATTCAGTCAATTGAAGAAAAAAAAAAAAACATTCTCAGATGATTCTCCAGTAAACCTTGGTCTATTTCAAAGTAAAACTGTATTTACTGCACATATTGAAATAATTATTAAAATGATAAATAATGATTAAAAAAGCTATAAGCTATACCTTCAAGACTGAATCTTCATATATGACTAGTGATCCATCTGCTGTCCCGACCAAAAGGTAATTCTTAAAGTGTCTGAAAAATTGAAACATTATTCTCTCATCTAAACATAGATCATCCAAGAAGCCATTCCACATTTAGCTCAGAAACGTACATGTAATCACCTGTGAATGTGAAAGTATAGCGATGTCACAGAATCCTTCACACTCTTCAGACAGTGCAGAACCTCTGCGTTTACAGTATCCATGATGAAGAGTGAACCTGACTGTGTACCAGCAACTAACCAGTCACTGCATGACCCTGGAGCTCTGATGATCACCATGCAGAGGATAGGACTGCTGTCAATCTCCTAAAAGAGGGCGGGAACACTGTTAACTGGATCGTTAAATAAACAGCAGTCAATGAGTTAATTCCTCAAGGATTGTGGGTGAACTGTTTGGGAAGTAACTGAAAACTATTATATGCAGAACACTGAAATGAGGATGATATAATCATACTTGTTTAGATGAAATAGCATTTAAAGGTGACATATCATGAAAATCGGACTTTTCCAGGTTTTAAGTGCTATAATCAGGTCCCCGGTGCATCTACCAACCAAGGAAACATGAAAAAGATTAACCCAGTAACTTTGTTTTGGTAAGCCTTTTTCTGCAAGCGTCTGAGAAAACGAGCGCGTCTGATTTGGCTCCCTTGGTGACGTGGCAAAGGGATCTCATTATAATATTACCGCCCCTTAATCTGTAAATTTACACCCACGGCGCCATCATTTTGATTTCACAAGCGACAACGGTGTACCAGCTCTAATGCCATGGCGAAAGTTTGAGCAAAACATGCTAAGTATTCTGTCTTTGTCTGGACTGATGAGCACAGAACACTGTTTAGAGTCCCCGCGTCAGAGGAGACAAGACAGCAGTGGATGTATTGATTTATTTACTGTATATTGCTGCTGCCACACGGATCTAAAATAAACATGCTAAGATTACAAATTGGTTAAAAACTCGTGTTTACATCTTAATGTTAGTAAAACTGTATGTATGTTTTTTTCCAAAGTCTGCAAATAGAGATCCCGATCCAGATGTCACAGTTGCAGGTAAAAGGTTATCAGTAGTTCAAGAGTATAAATATCTAGGTATAATACTTGATTCACAACTTACATTTAAAAAACAAGTTAAAATAGTTGGGAATAAAATTTAATTTAATTTGGCAAATTTTAGATATATTAGGAATAATTTAACCACTGAGGCCTCAAAGTTATACATTAATGCTATGATTTTTTCACATATGAATTACTGTCTCACCAGTTGGACACAGACAGGTGGGACTATTTTGCAATCAATAGAAAGACTCTATAAGCAGGCTTTGAAAATATTGGATAAAAGGTCTAATTCATATCATCATTGTGAAATTTTAACTAAATATGGGTTTTTAAGTTGGGAAAATATGATTAAATTTGCAGATATTTTACTTGTGTTCAAAATTTTGCATGGTTTGGCTCCGCTCCCACTTAATAAATTTATCAGGAAAAATTTGAATTCTTTTACTAGAGCCACTACTAGAGGGGACTGTATAATACCATATAGAAGAAGTACTTTTGGGCAATCAGTATTTTCTTATAGAGCAGTACATACTTGGAATACTATACCCATAGAATTAAGAAATATTACATCTCTTGCTCCTTTTTCTGAATCGGTAAAAGGGTGGTTACTGGATAATCAAATATGTCTTCATAATTTGAAGTAGTGTTTCTTTTTTTCTTTAATTGTATTCTGTTTTTTGTAATATGTTTGTTTCTGTTTTGTGTATTTGTGGATTATGGTTCTTACCATCAACCTGCCAGGGACTGCAGATGAAAATTAGCCTGAATGACTAAATCTGGCACATTTACATAGTAGACTTGTTTACTCATGTTAATTAATGTGTATTGTCCCTTTTAAATAAAATAAAAACAAAAAAAATGTTTCTTGTAGCTGCTGATGGGCTTGTAGGAATTCTAGCCCCTTCCTCAGTACAGGACCACTTCAACTCTGTGATGTTGGTGGGTTTCCTCCTATGAACTGCTTGTGTCAGCTCCTCCCACAACATTTCAATTGAATCAAGGTCCAGACTTTGACTCAGTCATTCCAAAACATTAACATTGTTCTTCTTTAACCATTCTTTGGTAGAAAGACTTGTGTTCTTGGGGTCGTTGTCTTGCTGCATGGCCCACTTTCTCTTTTTTCAGTTCATGGACAGATGTCCTGACATTTTCCTTCAGAATTTGCTGGTATAATTCAGAATTCATTGTTCCATCAATGATGGCAAGTTGTCCTGTCCCAGATGCAGAAAAACAGGCCCAAACCATGATACTACCACCACGTTTCACAGATGGGATAAGGTTCTTATGCCGTGTTTTCTTTCTCCAAACAGAACACTTCTCATATAAACCAAAAATTATATTTTGGTCTCATCTATCTACAAAACATTTCTCCAGTATCCTCTGGCTTGTCCACATGATCTTTAGCAAACTGCAGACGGGCAGCAATGTTCTTTTTGGACAGCAGTGTCTTTCTCCTTGCAGCTCTCTCATGCACACCATGGGTGTTCAGTGTTCTCCTGATGGTGGACTCATGAACATTAGCCAATGTGAGAAAGGCCTTTAGTTGCTTAGAAGATATCCTGGGTTCCTTTGCAACCTTGTGGACTATTATACGTCTTGCTTTTGGAGTTATCTTTGTTGGTGGACCACTTCTGGGGAGGGTAACAGTGGTCTTGAATTTCCTCCATTTCTACATCTGTCTGACTGTGGATTTGTGGAGTCCAAACTCTTTAGAGATGGTTTTGTAACCTTTTCCAACCTGATGAGCAACAACAACTCTTTTTCTGAGGTCCTCAGAGATCTCCTTTGTTCGTGCCATGATTCAATTCCACAAACATGATCAGACTTTGAGAGATCCCTGTTCTTTAAATAAAACAGGGCAGGCAATGACACCTGAACAGAACAGATGGACCCTTAATTTCACTTTCAAATTAACTACTGATCCTAGAGATTCACATACTTTCACACCGCACAGATATGTAACACTGGATAATTTTTCTCAATGAATAAATGAAAAAGAAAATATTTTTGTCAAATTTTTTTGATTGGGTTATCTTTGTCTATTTTCAGGACTCAGAAAATTCAGAAAATTAGGGTTGGGTACCGAAATATTGGCACCGGTACGTATGTAACCGGTATGTACTAGAACCGAATCAGAACGCAGATTTCGGTGCCACGTAAATGCTTGAGCGATCTATTGAAATATTTGTTCTCCGAAATGGACGTAAGGATCACCGGCACCGCACGTGAAAAATAATTTCTCGACTGAGAAAATTCACGAAAGCAAGTCGGAAAGGGAAATGAGAGCATCCGAGGAGCGTGTGAATGTAGTAATTACACTTTCTCTGATGACAGCAGGTAGATACCGTTAGCTAGCTAAGCTAAACATTCTTAAATTAAAATGCCAAAAGCTAAACTTCCCTT